CAGCTGGACGTTTAAAATGGACAAAACTGTCCATCTGAGTCCACCCTCCCCTACACACAGGATGTGGGGCCCACACGCTCACACACAAACCATTTCCCTGAGCAGGGCAGACGCCCAGACGGTCGCCATCTGTGCTACCCTTCAAAGGAAAGACTCGGGGAATGGCGTTCTCGGGAGAGCATGGGGCTGCTCTCTGCAAGTTGGATGGTTGAACCCACCAGCCCCCTCTCGGGGCAAAGAAGAGGCTGTCTGCTCCCGTGAAGACTCAGTGTCAGAACTGACTTAGGCCAGCCGCTGTTTCTATTCAGATTAAAGTGCACAGATTTGCAGGGTTACTGATCAACTTCACAGTCCAGTCCGGGAACCTGGCTGTCCCTGGCCTCTGCTGCCGGCTCCCCTCAGCCCAGCCCATTACCCCGTCCCTCCTCAGGGCCCTCTTGGGCTCCAGCCACCCGCTCCTGCGAGGCCCAGGAGGAGAGTCCTGAGGAGAGAGGGTGCGGACCATGGCACGAGGAGCGGGGTCGGTGAGTGAGAAGCCGGGAGTCGGCAATGAAGACGCAGGCGCGCATGGTGAGGCTGGGGTCTCCCCGGAGCACTTCCAGGGGCGACGAGGACACAGGAGGAGGGATGAGGAGTGAGGGGACCCAGGGAAAAGCAACGCCAACATAGACACCACTCCGGGAGTGGAGCTCAGGAGAGCAGGCAGCCATGACGGGCAGGGGCAGCAGCCAAGAGGGCAGCGGCCCGTAGATGGGGGAAAGCGCCCTGTGTCCGCTCATGGGCGATGCTGGAGGTGCGCTGTCCTGCCCGGGGCTCCTCCCGTGACAGAGCCCTTCAAAGGCATCTTACAACGAGGTACACAGAGGGATCCACACCCGTCAATAGGACACGGTCCAATTACGGCCCAGCCGTCTGAGACATCTCCACCTTGTGGACGGTGAGGACGACTTCAAGGACAGCAACAGTACCCTAGACAAGCATGTGAAACCTGAGCAGGCTGCAAGTACCGCCAACCAAGACTGCAGTACTGTGACTTTGTATCTGTGTGTACACATAGGAAACAGAAATGTATGCGTGGATCCCCAGAGGCGGGCACACACGCAGATACACACACATATTCCAAACAAAAAACCAACTGCACAACCGACTCTTGTTAAGAAATTCAACACTCGAATTTTAACCAATTGTTACTTTTCTTACAAAATATGATTCTTCCCAGGTTACGTGGGAAGGCTGCCCCATGCAGTTACTGTTTCAGGAACCGCCTCACTTCTCAAAGCGCACTAATATCTGAGCAACAAGAAAGCACACGTAGATCATAAACTTGTATGAACTGAAGCATAATCAGAGTGCAAACAACAGACAAGCGGATGGGCTTCCGGTGCAAACACCAGCAGTGGGAGGGAGGGGCAGAGCAGGAGGAAGCTGAGGCCTGTCAAGGGCCCCCAGAGCATTCAGATAAATAACCGCTGGGAGAAGACCAGGAAGACTGCGTAGAAAACCTCCCAGGACGAGTGACTCCTCCCACCCAGCTGGCGGCGGCACTGCCAGCAAACGTGCCTCGGGGTCAAGGCAGCAGCTCGGTGTGATGCCACTCCCACCCGAGCCTGGGACTCGAGCTGAGCTCATAAACAAGGGCAACCGGCAACCCTTCCCACAGTTAAGCCACCCAGTAACAGGGATGGTTCCTGGTTTGACCTGAAATCCATACAAAAAGTCATTCGAGAAATCGCACCTCCTGTATTTTTGTTTCAGGAACTACACGGTGTTAACCAACTAGCAAACCCCACTGCCATCCAGTCACTGCCGACTACAACCACTCGATGGGGTGGGACAGAGCTGCCCCATCAGCTATCCTGGGTGGTCTTCCTCCCATGAAGCCACTGGGCGGATTTGAACCGCCTGCCTTTCCCATTAGCGGGGGAGCACTTCACCACGGCTCCGTTCCAAAAAAATCCAGGTGAAACCCCTGCCATCGAGCCCATTCCAACTCACAGCGACACCAGGGGCAGGGCGAGCTTCCCTTGTGGTTTCCCTACAGAATCCATACAGGAGCAAAAGGCCTCCTCTTTCTCCCATGGAGCGGTTGTTGAGTTCAAACTAATGACCTGCAGCTAGCAGACCAATGCCTAACCTGCTGTGCCATCAGGGCTTCTACGGGCCTGTGAGGGCTCCTAAGTACTGTGGGAGCAACCACAACTCAGGGAACTGGGGACTCTGCGGGTGTGCAGGAAGAGGGATGCCCTCAATGGGCCTGCTGCCAGGGAGCAGCTGCTGCCCCTCAGCGGATGGCCAGTGCGCTCCCTGGTACTGCCCGGGCCCCTCAGAAGGAGGGGGGGGTCCCCTGCCCTTACGTTGATGGCCAGTGCGCACAGCTGGTACTGCTCCAGGGTGATGATCTCGTGGTAGCAGGGCTCCTGCGCCAGCTTCACGATGGCACTCCCGGCGGCCAGCCTCAGGCGAGACATGTCTGGTTTGCTAGAAAACAAGCGAGCGCGACTCAGCACTTTTCCTTCTGGCTCGTCCAGGGCCGTAACACTACTCTGACAGCCAGGGACCCCGCAACGTGGGGAGCCACCGAGCACACCACCGCTGGTGCGTGAGACCATGGCCAGCCCGACAAGTGACCCTGGCATCCTAGCCTCCGGCAGCGCCTTGAGAGCCGTGAGACAAACCACCCTGCAGCCATGCCCGCAGCAAGTCTACACGGGGGCTTCAAAAGGGCCGTGGAGAACCCCATGATCTGTTCACGCCATCTTCCCACGAACATTTTAAGGCCTCCTCATTGCTGTGTTAGTTGTTGGGTCTTGTCTTCCATTGCAGGTAGTTTCCAAACAGACACAGAAAGGGTTAAAAGCACCCTGGTTTGAGGGTCGTCACCAGGCAGTCAAGATCGCTGCGAGCAGCCGACCCCGAGGGAAGGCTTCCATGCAAGGGCAGCTGTTTGCAACTGCTCAGTGTCACTAACAGGCCCTGTGAGGGGTAGAGAGGGCTTCTCTGGGGCAGTCAGCAGGGCACCTTACACAGCAGATGGCTGGGGGGAGGGGGGGGGCGCGTCAGGAGCAAACGTTCACTCTCCTTCTGGAACCCCACTGTGTATTCGCGGTTCACGTCACGGAGCAAACACGCTCTCAGGGCCCCAGCACTGAGGAGGGCTTGAGAGAAAGATGACAACCAAGATGGCCGAGGCCGTCAGCTCTCCAAGGACGAGCGAGCACTGGCTCCACGGCCGGCAGGGCGGGGCCAGCAGGCAGACTTGGCCCAGGGAGGTGGCCGCCTCCACACGTTCTATCTGGGTCTCTGGTTCCTGTGCGCTTGTTTTCCACTGTCCCCTTTTCAAGCCGAGGAGTCTTTCCTTCAAATCATACCTTCCCAGGGGCTGGAGGTGCAACACACGGAAGCCAGCTGGTACGAAAGCCAGGGGCCGAGGGTCCTAAGGCCCCAGCTGAGGGGTCCTGCCACACAAGAGCAGCCTGGAGCCCGGGCACCAGACCACTGCGCCAGTCCCCACACCTTGACCTGTCCTAGCGCTGGCTCCTCTTAGTTCCTCAGAGTTCTAAGGAGCCAGGGAAACAGTGGACAGCTGGTCGGCAGACCGGCAGTGAAAGGCCACCGCCAACCCTCAGGAGAAAGTGGTGGTCGCTGGATCCCGTACAGATGGGCAGCTCTGAGGAACTGGGATCCAGTGGCCATGAGTCAGGCTCTGCTCAGCCGCCAGGGGTGTGGGTTTCTGATTGTGGAATGTCCACAAGGGAGGCGGTGTGGTCCACTGGTTATGGACATGGACAGATGCAGGTGACCACACAGGGCCCCAGTCAGGTGCCACCAGTGCTCAGCCCCCACAGGCACTTGATTGCTCCGCGCTCGGGCTCATGGCCTACAAGGGTCCCAGACAGACTCTGAGCACCTGCCCCTGCGTGCGGCCTCTGTAGCGCCCCTCCACAAAATGTCCCTCCCAGTGTGCAGGAGCTCCATCTCATCTACTCTGAGCCTCTCGAACCAGCCCCGGAGGAGACGACAGAGAAGCCCTCAGAAACCGCACCAAGAATCAGATGCAAGGACGCAGCAAACGTGTCCCCAATGCCTCGTCTATCGGCTCCCTTCTGGTCTCCTACACAAACCTGCCTTCAATCCCCTCCGCACAGTTACTGCTACCAACAAGGGCTGGCCCGTTTCTCTCTCCCTGAGAGAAGCCCCGAGATCCAAGTTATGTCCATCACTCTGTGAGGGAGGCGAGGAGAGCTTTCCCCGGCTCACTACAGGTCGCCCAGCTCACAGAAGGGCCGTGAGAAACAGGCCAAGGTCTGAGCGGCCGGCGGGGCTCGTGGTACCTGATCTTGCCCTGCTCCGTCAGGTCCCCATCGCTGTGCAGGATGGTGGTCAGCAGCCTCAAGGTGGACGTTCCTGACTTGCTGTGATTGTTCTTCATGCCCAGGAGCCAGCGGACCATCATCTTAATCGCCTGGATCTGAGCAGCAGGAGACAGACCCCTGAGTCCCCTCGCCATGTTTTCAGAGTTCGGAAGGCTAAGCAGCCCTGGTGGCACAGAGGGCTAAGTGCTAAGCGCTGGGCAGATAGTGGGGAGGCCAGCCGTCTGAAGGCAGGAGGAAGAGGCGGTGTCTCAGTGGTGCAGACTGAGAGCCTGAGGACTCTGTGAGATCGGCTCATGGCCGGGGGCTGGGTTCTTGCTTTTAAGGGGGGAACATTTATTGTGCATACAAATAAGGAACCTTGGTGGCGTAGTGGTCGTGCTGCCAACTACCACTTCAACAGTTTGAAACCACCAGCCGCTCCGTGGAAGAAAGACAAGACTTTCTCCTCCCAGAAACAGTTAGTCTCAGAAACCCACAGGGGCAGTTCTTGGCTGTCCTGTAAAACCACGCTGAGTTAGAATTGACTCGATGGCAGTAGAGAGGTTCAACAGATGTTGATAGATACAGGCAGCTGGAGATTAAAAGTCAGTCAGCCAGGGACAGACAGACGACTGTTCCTAGACGACTGTTCTCTGCTTCGGGCGCAGTGAAAGGGGCAGGGCAGTTCCCTGGAGAGCAGAGCCCTTGGCCTGCGGCCCTGACGACTGGAGGTCCAAAGGGCAGCACGGCACTGACCTTGGACAAGGCTCAGGGAGGAGTGGGGGTGCAGGATGGGACACTGAGGGGTGTCAATCAATGACAAAACAGGGTGCAGGGCCTCTGTGAATTGGAACCACCACGACCATCGTGTGGTGACACTCAGAACCAAACAGAGCACCCTCTGCCCCTGACGCGACAGAACATCTATGACTGGACAGCAGCGGGCAGCCAGCCCTTTCTTCCAAAGCACTGCTGGGTGGGTTCGATCACCAGCCTCTTTACAGGTGAGCCTCCGGGACCTCGTGACAACAGCACATCGGATCCCAGATGCTGGCCGGTGACTCACCTTGACCATTGTCTCAGGGGAAACCTCTTCGTCAGGAACCCAAAGCTTGGTCGTCTTTTTACCTGGAAGCTAAACGAGACTGAAGTGAGCCATCCTGGGAGGGCAGGCTGGAGGTGCTGGGGAGCAGCCAGGGAGTGCAGTGAGTTGTGAAAAAGCCTCAATGAACCATCGCAGCACACTTGAGATGTGCCCCAAGGGAAACCCCGGGGCATGCAGAGGTGGGCGGCCTGGACCACAGACATGGCGGCCTTACTGACCCTCTGCTGACGCTCCAGAGGACCTGGCACACGTGCCCACTGACACGACTCTACTGGTGAGAAGGGGACCAGAGGAAGAGGATCTACTGGAGCAGTTCCTGACCAATGTCAGGCCTGGGGGTTGGGGGTTGGGGGTTGGGGGTGAAAGCAAACACACACTCACACACTTCTGGGAGAATTGGTCACCTGTGATTCCTCAGATGTGAGCACTGAGAACCAAAGCTGTAACCTTCCTGAAACATCTACTCCTGTATCCAGGGCACCAGTACTCAAGGAAGGGGGACGTTTTTCAAAAAATGTAAGGCAAGGAACAGGCTGCCAGACTGCCCGTCTATTCAGGAAGAATTACTCCAGATGACACTAAGCACCAAACACTGCAGCCCTAAGATCCTAACAAATGAAAAACGAAACCCTAAGGGACGCGAGGCTGGGAGAAGCCATCAGGAAAATCCACAAACACAGCCAAGACTCTGGAAAACGAGAACTAGGGGGCAGGAACAACCCCGGAACCAAGGGAAGAGCATCCCATGGGCCTGGGACAGGCACTGAGGAAGGAGGTACCCACGCAGCATCACCCAGTCCCCAGCACCAGCGATGGACTGAACCGCCCGCTGACACCCAGCAAGATGAGGACAAGCAAGACTGGAGGGTGTTTCCTCCAACAACAGCACCACGGCGGGAGAGGGTAAGCACCTGAAATGTACACCGCAGAAATACAAAGAAAGGAAGAACGGCAAGGATCAGAGAACCTTCACACTGCTATTCGTCTTAAATGACATGATTGAAAATACAGATCGCTAAAAGAGCCCATCAAGAAAATAACATATATTTATAGGTTTAGTATTAAGGTAGCAGATGGACATTGGGCCTCTACTCAAGTACTCCGTCAATGCAAGAACACTTTGTTCTATTAAACTGGCATTCCATGATGCTCACCTTCCTGACACAATCACTGAGGACAGATGGGTGCATGGGCAAATGTGGTGAAAAAAGCTAATGGTGCCTGGCTATCAAAGGATACAGTGTCTGGGATCTTAAAGGCTTGAAGGTAAACAAGCGGTCATCTACCTCAGAAGCAACAAAGCCCACATGGAAGGAAGCACACCAACCTGTGTGATGACGAGGTGTCAAAGGGATCAGGTATCAGGCATCAAGGAACAAAAAATCATATCACTGTAAATAAAGGGGGGTGCAGATTGGGGACCCAAAACCCATCTGTGGGCAACTGGACATCCCCTTATGGAAGGGTCTCCAGGAGGAGACCAGCCAGTCAGGATGCAGTGTAGCAACGATGAAACATACAACCTCTAGTTCTTTAATGCTTTCTACCCGCCACTATCATGATCCCAATTCTACCTTACAAATCTGGCTAGACCAGAGCATGTACACTGGTACAGATAGCAACTGGAAACAGGGAATCCAGGACAGATGAACCCTTCAGGACTAGTGGTGAGAGTGGCGATATCGGAAAAGTGGAGGGAAGATAGGGTAGAAAGGGGGAACCAATTTCAAGGATTACATATAACCTCCTCCCTGGGGGACGGATAACAGAAAAGTGGGTGAATGGAGAAGTTGGACGGTGTAAGATATGACTAAAAAAAATAAATTATCAAGGGTTGATGAGGGAAGGGGGAGTGAAGGGAAAAATGAGGAGCTGATACCAAGGGCTCAAGTAGAAAGCAAATGTTTTGAGGATGATGGCAACAAATGTACAAATGTGCATGACACAATGGATGTATATGTATGGATTGTGATAAGCATTGTACAAGCCCCCGATAAAGGGATTTAAAAAGGAAAGAAAATAACTTACCCCGAATGACCACAAACAGGAAAAAAAAATTGGGAAAACTGGAGTGTGTAACATCAAGATGTGCTGGAGAAGTGTTGAAAACTACTGTGTAAGGAGACTCACAATTGCAGGGTAAGTAACGGACAGAGTGAACAAGGGACGGAGGCGGCAAGACTGGCAGCCCTAGACAGGAGCTGGGCAGCCGGGGTAGCGCCGATGGCTGGGGAAGGTGCAATTATTCCTGAAGTTGTGCTGTGGAACGTGGCCGTCCTCTTGGGAGAACAATAAAGAAATGGAATCCTTCCATCTCAGAACCCCACAACCACCCAGTCAAATCCAGACAGAGCAGTGTGAGCATGTGAAAAGAAACCTAAAAGCTCTCAGAAGAAAGTCTGAGAGACAGACAGCCTGCATGGTGCTGGAGCACCAAGTATCTCCCCCACACGAGAAAATAATCATGGGTTCTGTTCATTACAATGAGTAGTGTTTTGAACTAAATTTGGCATGTAACCTTCTCACTGAAAACATAATATTCTCTCTCTCCCTCCCTCTCTCTCTCTCTCTCTCTCTCTCTCTCTCTCTCTCTCACACACACACACACACACACTTTTGTTGGAAAAGCACTGCGGAGTGGCCAGCTGAACCATAAAGGAGGCTCTGGGCTCTGGGGTGGGAGATGGCACCACACACTGAACAAAGGAGCAGTGTGTTTGAAATGACCTGCTGGACAAACCACCTGGAATAAAAAATGGGAAAAGATTTCAGAAGACTCTTCAGAGAGCAGGCAATGCGCTCCACCAAGCTCCACCTACTACCACTCTCAAAGCCTGCGGCCACAAGTCTATTCCGACCACGCAGCCGTGCAGGCCTTCCAGGGCCGCCAGTCTCGCTGGGGCAGAGTCTGAACGTCAGCTTGGTGGTTGGCAGTCCAGCACCTTCCCCACAGCACCACTAGGGCTCCTGTCTACTGTGCAAAACTGAAGGAATGTGACAATAACAAACGTCACACAACGCCAGCGAGAAAACGGGTTCCAAGTTCCTTTTGAAAGGTAATTTGACGTAACATCGGAGCGTTCCACAAGGACTTTTGCTAAGATGCACCTGAGGTTCTCCGGACACACATCCCAGCAGCACTACTGACAAGAACAGAGAGACTTTGAGCGCCGTCCCACTGGGAGAATTAAACAATGTACCAGCTGCTGCCCACAGCAGAGGGGCTAACCACAAGGTCAACAGTTCAAATCCACCAGCTGCGCTGCAGGAGAAAGAAAGACGGTCTCAGAAACCCACACGGGCAGTCCCTCCCTGCCGACCAGGGCTGCTGTGGGCCGGCGAGTTTGGTTTCTGACTTGGCCCCCAATGGAGCCGTGGGCAACATGAGAGAGAAGTGGACCTCAGCCAGGCTGCACAGCCAGCAGAGTTCTAGAGTCGAGTTCTAGAGTCCCAGGGGGAGGGGCGGCCAGCCGGGTGCTAGAGACTGTGCCCGACCACAGGACGCGGCTATACTGCTCAGAGACAAGCCGAACCAAGCAGCTGTTTAAGAGAGCAAGAGAGATGTGGTACAGCACTTACATGTTTAGTTAGGGAATCCTGTCAGAGAAGAAAAACTCAAAGGTGTGACAGGAAAATGCTGGCTGCCCACTGAAGGTGACCTGTGTCTCTGCATGTGTGTGAAACACATCAGGTGACTGTTTCGGAATCAATTCTCATAGAAACAAACAGATGACGGACAAACCCATTCGCATTCTTTCTTTCCTCCTGGAGCTCTAAAATTCTCTCCTGGAGGGAGGGAGGGAGGGCGAGGGAGCAAGTACTGTCCCAACAGCTATGCTGTGAATGGACTTGTGAGGCTTCACATGACAAAACAAACTATGTCATCCCAGAAAGGCCACCTGGTGAAGCTGAGTCACGAAGGGCGGACCTGCATTCATCGGAGAGAGCAGTCAGGCCACGTGCCAACATGCAGCCACACGTGTTCCGCTCGCTTCACTTTTAGGGAGGCAGAGGCTGGACGAGGCTGCCCGAGGGAAACATTGCCCTGCCCCACTCAGCTGGGGCACAGGGTCAGGGAAGCAGACGGGTGAAGAACGTGCAAATCCACAACTAAATTACCCGGTCGTTCATGAGCAGGTCTTTGACGATGAAAGTCGCCACCAAGGACTTGAGCGGGGCCGCGAACTGCTCGGGCGCGAGCAGGGCGATGTGGCCGATGGTGACGAGCGGCGTGATGAGGTGCTCCAGGTTGCTTGGGTCCAGGCTCTTGTGCAGAGGCTGGGGGAGGGGGGAGGGGGGAGAGGGAGGTCACGTCTCCACGTGTGCAGACATGCCGTGCAGGCTCCCTCTCTGACGCACTATCACACAAGGCCAGGAGGGGGTCCCGTCCCGGGGGTTAGGTGCCGAGAGGTCATCAGTTTGAATCTACCAGCTACTCCAAGGGAGAGAGAGGAGGCTTTTTGCTCCTTTTCGTAAAGAGTTAGTCTTGGAACCCCAGAGGGGTAAGTGTACTCTGCCCCACAGGCTCCCTATGAGCCGACAAACAGAGTCAAGGGCAGTCATGTGCTTTTGTTTTGAGGTGCCCTCATGCATGCACATCTGCAGTCTGGCCCTGAAAAGAATTCTTTCTGCAACACGTCCTGACTGCACTTCACCATAAACCGCATGCGCTGAGCACTCAGTTCTGTGCGGCCACGGTAGTGCGTTACAGGAGCTGCAGGTACACCGTCTTGGAGGCTGCCCCCCTTTCTCTCGCAATGCGGCCTGCATGGCTAGCGGTTCAGAGGGATGTCCTCGCTCCCTCGGGAGCATGAGTGTGGGTGGATGAAGCAGGAGCTGCTAGAACACAACACCCTAGTAAGTCCTGCGAAGAACCCATAGGGGGCGGGGTGGGTGCAGCCTGGTGCTACAGACACACTTTCTTGATTTTAAAAACAAGAAAATACAGAAACATAGTATCTACTAAAAATGCCCATGCACTATTTACAAGAAAATTCTGTATTCTGAAAATGCCATGCTGAACACCCAGGGTTTTGAGCTTGAAAAACAATATGAGGCTATTATTGTTACCCAGCTGTAGGGTGGGGGTGGGCGGTACCCACCCAGGCACAAGAGAGATTTAAAGGAGCCTGGCCCTTGTTATTACTCTTGGTGACTTCCCTCTACTGGACACCTACCCAAAGCCGGTTTCCTTATAGCCAAAACCTGACACACACACACCGCCGTGGGGTCGATTCCAACTCGGGGAGACAACAGGGCAGAGCAGACCACGTGGGTTTAAAGCCTCGGCTTTCAGAGCGTCTGGTGGGTTCAAACTGCTGACTTTCTAGCCCAATACACCCCCAGGCTGCTAGAAGTTGGTGTTATTATCGCTCATCATGCACCAGCACTGAAGCAGCACCATCGCGGACAAGAGGCGGATGGGCAGCCAGCTGGCTCTACAAAGTCTTTTCTTAGAAAACCAGCCACTTGAACTGCTACCTAAGGAGGACACGTGAGGGTTTGTTCAAAGCTGGAACGACGCGGGATGCACCTCAGAGTGCCCTCCACGGCAAGCACTGGATCCGCCTCACCTTCCTCTCCTCGCCGCTGGAAGGAATGGCCATTAGTCACGCAAAGCACAGGCTTCCGAAGAGCCACCATGCATGTGTAGCAGACACCTACTACAGAAGCACCGCGTCCCCCACCTAAGACGGACAATAACATGTGTGGTGCAGAGCAAAGCTGCCCTTTGAAGATGGTCCAAGAAAACAGGCTTTCTTCCTCTCGCAGCTGCTGGCCTAGCTGGAGAGGTGGCCGCAAAGGCCTGTGTCTCCTGAACAGAGAAGTGTCCGAGAGCCTTTGTCGTTGGAGACTCCGGCTCAATTTTCTAATTGTATTGGCTTCATGGAAGCCCCCAGACGACAGGGACGTGTTGGCTCGCACATTCTCCGCCAGCTTTGAGCTGCAGAAACAGCACTATCCACAGCCCTTGACAACAGACGTCAGTCAGCTGCAACACTTCCAGAAGGGAAAGGCGGCTTACAGGGCAAGTAACTGAAACCCAGGAGAGAGGTCACACGTAATAGCTGACGCAAAACGAGGCCAGCCACAGGGAAACCAACACCTGCTTTACATTCCAATCAGTATTGCTTTCCTAACGCTCTGCCTGCAGCTGCCAACTCACCAGCACTACCAACCACCACCGACTTTGGCATCATCTCAGAAAGGTGCCAATACTTTAAAAACAGACAGAACCATCATCTGGGACCTACCATTGATACTGACGCCTTTGACTTGAGGTGCAACTACCTGTTAATCAGAAACAACCTCCATGCCAGGACAGTGGGTTATTTAACATGGTTCTTCTAGCCAACTTCTCCACTTCCACCAAACGACCTTCCCCTGCCTGGGGCTGGTAAGCAGGGGGAGGGGGACTAATAGGATTCACTTGTGAGTAAATTTGAACAAGAGTCCCTGCCCGGAGCGCCATCCTGCTGTGTGTAAAACACGAGTCCTCTGAGAAGCAGGAGGAGGGATTCTCATCCTCAGTCAGGGCACGGTCCTCTGGACATGAGGTCCCTGCGCAGTGGCATCAGAGTGGCAGCAGCAATAGCACCCAGAGCCCGAGCATGGGGCAGAGTAGAGGACTGCCCATGCCAAGGAGCAAGCAAAGCTTGAGGGCAGGAGGCTGGCTTGCAGAGAGGGGTACCTCTGGCACCTTATCGGGAAAACTGGGCTTGCTGACCCGTGGAAGCAGAGCTGCGTGCCTTCAGGCTAAGGTTTACTGGCGTGGGACGCCTCTGGGCACTTAGCTCAGGGAGCTGGCTTTTCGGAGTGGTGTGCCCCTCGAGGGATTTGTTAGAGGCACTGAGAGAACTTGTCACGTGTCCTGATGAACAAGTCCACCCTGAACACTTCTCATTGACATTACCATGTGTTAACTCCCTTCATAAACCCTTTCATCCCGAGTTTCATCTGCCGTTTTCTGTGTAGCCACTGCAGTGGACAACAGGATTCAGAGAGGAAAATGAGAGCATTAGCTACAACACACTCCGACGACTAAGTGTACGTGGCAGGGGCGAGCGAGTCCTTGATGTTCTGGATCGAGTCCTGGATAAGCGTGTGAACAATCAGATCGCTTCCTCTTGCAGCCAATTATCAAAACACACTGAGCAGCTTCCAGTTCTGAAAGAACACTACACAGAAACGGGTGGCTAATCCGGCAGCCGCATCCTCATCTGCTTGCTCATGGCAACCTGTGCAACGGTGTCTCCCCTCTTTACCTCAAAGATCTGCGCGAACTGGGTCTCCTTGCTGGAGAAGATGGCGTGGATGCAGTGGACAGCATACTTGGCCTGCCGCGGGGGCCCTTTCTTGGATTTGTGATGCAGCACAGGAAGCAGGGCTCTGCGGGAAACAGGAGCAGCTGTCAGCGCAGGCCCACAGGCACCACACGGGCCCAAGGGTGTCCGAGCCATGACTTTCCTTCCACCCTCGTCTACATCCAGAACGCAACCCAAACACCAGGGCTTGGGCTTTTTCCTTGTGAAAACACACACACATACACACAGACACACACCCCTCCCCTCAGTGCCTCCTCTCCAAGAAGCCTTTCTCCTCCAGCTGTCACTTCAGCTAAGCTCCTGCCCCTAACTAAGAGCCCTAGGACGGGCCCCAAGAGGAACCCTTACCCTCTGGCTCCACCCTTCACTCTACCCCACGGTGGCAGGGAGCCTGGAGACTGGAATGAAGCCTCCGGGTGCCTGGCACCACCGAGGCCGCAAGTGCCACCTTGTGACACTTCCCTATCAGGGGACCAGAGCCACGTGTACAGTGTTCATCTGTGAAGTCTGCTGCCACTCAGACCCTAAAGGACAGAGACTTGCAGACAGGGCTCTACAGGAGCAGTGGATTATTTGCTGTGACTGTTATAGCCAAAGTCAGTAAGTCCTGCCACACGGCCTTTCCCTGCAGGGGTCTGGTGAGAAGATGGTAGGGGACAATGACAGGACAAGACCCTGTGCGTAACCGAGCAGAAAGCAATTAGGCTCACCGTGCTGCTTGGTAGAAAATGTGCCCTCTGAGAAGCAGGAGGGGGGGCACCACCAGCAAGAGCCAGGAGTGGAGCGTGTCCTCTGGACCCTGAGACCCCTGCACAGTGAACGTCCTGGATCCTGGGGGCAGCTGGGATATCAGAGGAGCAGCAGGAGAACCAGGAGCCAGAGCATGGGACAGGGCAGTGTACGTCCCAGCCCTTAGAGAGGAGCCTCTAGGCACTGATTCAGGGAGCGAGGCGTGCGGTTAGAAAGCCCATGGGGCCATCCCAATAGATGCTGAGAGACATCTGACCAAGATCAACCTCATTCAGCAAACTCAAGACCCTTCCTCACACTGACCCTCGGCATCTACACAGACCATAGTGGTCAGAAAACTGTCCAAGGCGGGGAAGAGCCAGGATGTCCACTCTCACCACTTCGAGGATCACTGAACAGGATGAGATTGCCTTCCCGGTCGTTGGCCACTATCCCAAAGACAGAAGAGGTGTCTACACATAGGTTTGTTCACAACTGCCCAACTGTGCGCCCGGAGATGTGCTGTGTCCCCAGGCCACAGGGAAGGTGAGCCCAGCACATGCGCACAGTGACCTGGGGAGGAGCAACCTCCATGGCACTGTGGACAGCCAGCTTCTGCCAGGTTCCACTGACCTGAAATCCTACAAGAACAGAGTAAAACTGGCACTAATGGCGTGTGACAGCCTGGGGCCCGGCAGTCTGTGGGGCAGTGACAGCAGATCTTGTGTCCTCAGCAGGGCCTCTGTGGAAGACGGGCCCATGCAGCAGCAGCGGGTGCCCCTCCAGTAGAGGGGCAGCCCCGCAGGGAGGGCGGCCGTTACTCGGCTAGGAGGGGTGACAGAAAGTTTGTGGGAGCATTCCATAGCCTTCTGGTTCCACCCTCCCCCATATGCACACACCTGCCAGCACTCGTCCAGTTAAACCTCCAGAATTATCTGGTTGGCAAACATCCAAAGGTTGAACAGAGTCCACAGGCGAGACAGGGGTGGGGGCGGCAGACAACCCCAGAGAGACAAACTCACCATGCAGTCACTCTCCCCGAGGCGGCTGTACAGTCGCCCCAGCGGATGGCCACAGGCTGGTCCTTCATGGCTCTGTCACACTGGGCACTTTCCAAATGTGCCTCAGCAAGCTGCGCTTAGGCGACGAAGACAAGGCACAAAGGAGGAGGACACGCTACGGGCCCACGCGGGGAAGTCTGGCTAGTGCACCGTGCCTGCCAGTCCACAGGGAGAGGGCAGGCCCACACAGCCACACCCACGTCACCCAGGCGAGCACACACCAGAGTGCTATTTCCTGTATGCTCGTCTAGCTGACCAAGTAAGGCCAAAATGCTCCTCACAGACAAGGATGGCGGGACTTAGTCTGAGACAGAAGCTAGACTCCTTAGAAGACATCTTGCTTTTCTCAAAATGACTGCAGATCTAAGTATTTCTTATCATTAAAACAAAATTAAATCTTGAAAAAGCATCTCTAAAAAGAAAATGAAAGGGGGAAAATGGGCAAGAGAAGCTCTCCTCTCGTGATCTGACTTCCCTACATGGAATGATCCCAAGTCACTGTACTGTTAAATCCTAATGGCAGATCCAGCCAGGGATACAAGGACAAATGCCTGGCTCCAAGACCGTCCTTACTGGGGAGGGTGCTGCTGCTGTCTGAGTCCGGTGGGGCTCTGATACAAGCTACGCAGTCCCCGCCTGGGAAACGGGCAGACATGTAAAGGCCCAGAGGCTCAGTAAGGCCACTGTAGTCAGGCGTGGAATTGGAGGTCCCGTCTAACTTCAAGCCAAACTCATTTTTTAGCAAGGCAGGGCGCTCTGGATCCAGGTCAAGGCAGGCTGAACCAGCATCGTGAGCACCTCCCCCCCACACCAGAGAGCACCTACGTGCGTGTGGTCAGTGCTTCAGCTCCCAACGTGAGAGCCCACCTACTCTGTGTTCTGGAGACCGGGAGCAGCACAGAAGAGGCAGCGGCAGAGGTCTTTCCTGCCCAGTGTCACAAGGTGACCAGAGAGCAAGGAGGGCTTCCTTGGTAACTAGCCAGAGGAGACAGGAGGCAGATAAGCCAATGGCCTCTGATGACAAGGACCAGCAGCAGCGGCCATCACCCAGTTCGCGAACTTCTAGCCAGAGCCCGCCCTCCACCTAGAGAGCCGGCCTGCCACAACAGCAACTACCGATTTTTACAGGAAATTCAGGGAGAAGCCTGTTTGTGGGGATCACTGCGAGGAAAAGGTAAACTTGTGAGTTTCCTCCACGCCACACACTTGAAGACCTATCAGCCACTCATGAAAGCCTCGTCCACACCCAAATGCAAACAGACTGTCACACCAGAAACCCACTGCCAATGAGGCCATGCCAACCCGAGAGACTACAGGGCAAGGCAGAACTACCCCCGTGGGCTGGCTTCCCAGGCTCACTCTGGACCGGGCAGCAGGCTGCAGCATCTTCTCACTGTTCCAGGCTAACTTCTGTATTGGCTGCTAGCCTACCAGGCCCACCATTACAAGGTGGGCTATTGGCTGAATTCTGCAGATCCTGAGTGTTTGCTCTGGTAAGTGCCAAGTCTGCCAGTGGCGTATGAGGAAAAATCCTGGTTTGGTATTTATTTGGGCTCCTCTTGGCCTTTCCAAGAAAAACAATCATTTTGCTTCTTCCCTCCAAACAAAAACATCACTTCCGTGCTTATACAGCCACAGTGTCTGACACTCCAGAGCAATGGTGGGAAGGGGGGGGGTGGCTTTCCACCTGCTCATTTTCCAGGGAACGTGAGGGCAGCTCAACCTGGTGGTAGCCTTGGTTTAAGGGAGGTCGTGTTAGGTAGGGATTTAATCCCATTGCACTGTTTCCTTAAGAATACTTTTTTTTAATCAGCAGGCCTTTCAACATCAATCAAAATGATCTCTCCCCCTTTGGCCCACTTAGCCCCAACCAAGAAAGCTCACCGCCCTCAAGTAGATGCCAACTTATTCGATCCTATAGAACAGGGCAGAACTGCCCGTGTGTTCCCAAGACTTATTACCAAGAGTAGGAAGTCTCAGACCTGGAACCATCGATCATTTTTGTTACTGTTGTTTGCTTCTTTCACCATAGGTCTATCTCTATAAGATAGGCAGGACAAACAATCCCCAGGAAAAAACAACAGGACCGGCAGTCCTGGGGGGACATGGGAGAGGGCAGGGAGGGGGAACCAACAAACTCAGAGATGAGGGGTCACAACGAGAGATCTAAAAATGATGGAGAGGAGGCCTGGTGGGGTTTGATCAAGTGCAATATAACCCAGAGGAATTACTGAGAGCCGAGTGGAGGGTGAGCATGACAGTGGAACAGGAGGAAGGTGAAAGAAATAAAAGAAGTAGGAAGCAAGAGCTATTTATAGAATTATAGCTATAGACACGTATATAAGTATATTAATTTATAATTAAAGGGTTAGAAGCCAATATACATACACTTACTTATATGTTAAGTATTAAGATAGCATACAGACTTTGGGACTCTACTCAAGTCCTCCCTCCCTCCTTCAGTGCAAGAACACTTTGTTCTAATAACCCAGCATTCTTTGATACTCACCTTCCCTACACGATCACTGAAGACAAAATGGATGTGGAAGCAAATGTGGTGAAGAAAGTGGATGGTGCCCGGCTATCAAGAGATACAGCGTCTGGGGTCTTAAGGGCTTAAAGTTAAACAAAAAGCCATCTAGCAAGGAAGCAAATAAGCCCACAAGGAAGAAGCACACCAGCCTGTGCCATCATAAGGTATTGACGGGATCAGGTACCAAAAAATCCAAAACAAACAATTATATCAATGTGAATGGGCGGGGGGTGGGGGGGTGGGGGGGGTGGAGTGGAGACCCAAAACCCATCTGTAGACAATTGGACATCCCCACACAGAAGAAGAATGGGTCAATTCAATCAGGGTACAGTGTAGCACTGATGAAACACACATCATTCCTCTAGTTCCTGAATGGTTCCCCACGCCCCCTGCACTACCACGACCCAGTTCTACCTTACAAATCCACCTAGACCAGAGTACACACATTGGTACAGATAAGAGCTCTTGACACATGGAACTCAGGACAGATAAAAACCCTAAGGAACAGTAGTGGAAGTAGCAATATCAGGGGAATGGGGAGGGGATAGGGTAGGAGCGAGAAGGGGAACCCATCACAAGGTTGGATATATAGCCCACCCCACCAGGGGTACAAATAACAGAAATGTGGGTGAAGGGAGAAAATGGGGCGGGGGGCAGGGGAGGGGGTGGATACCAAGGGCTCAAGTAGGAAAAAATATGTTTTGGAAATGTTGATGGCAACATATGTACAAGTGTGCTTAATACAACTGAATGATGGATTGTCTTAAGATTTGTAAGAGCCTCCAGTAAAAGGATTTTTTTTTAAGAGTAGGAAGTATCATCTTTCTCCCAGAGAGAGGCTGGTGGTTTCAAAGAGAGAGGCTGGTGGTTTCAAACAGCTGACCTTATGGTTAACAGCCCAGAGTAGAACCACCACGCCCCTAGGGTTTCCCTGAAGGCTCTGGTCCTGAGCCAGTGGCTGGAGAGTTCACAAGTTGCTGCTAACTGTAAACCTGCAGGTTTAGACCTCCCTGCCCCGCCCTCAAGGCACTTCTGAAGACAGGCCTGCCAATCAACATCCGAAAGACCAGCCCCTGGAGCCCTGCAGGGCGCTACTGGAACAGGAAAGGGAACTGACCCCAGGGCACCTGGCGGGCTTTATTTTGTTTTGTTTTTTGTTTTGTTTTTAAATAATGGATTATAACAAAGTATCAGGTTCAGCAATATCAGCCCGTCTTCCTGGAATTAATCGTGCTTGGCCATGATAAGTTCTTGCTTTACACTTAATGAAGCTACTTCTTGCAAAGATCTTCCTTATGGTTTCTGCATTAACCTTGACCTTAAGCTCCGGGTTAGTGGAGGGACTTCCATGCTAAAGACTGCCAGCTGCTTTCTAACCCACCAGAGCCACCCAGGAGCCGGGTCAGATGCAGATCAGTCCTCCTTCACTCCCCCGCCTGCACAAGAATCAATTGAACATGGCCCCCACCCAACTCCAATACTCTGAATGACTAAAAAGGATCAAACTCCTAGATTCTTGTGTGTATGAAATAGTTTCCTCGAGAAACTTCTTAAAGGAATACAGTGTACGAGGAGCCCTGGTAGCCTAATAGGTTATGCACTGCCAGGCTAACCTCAAGGTCTGCAGTGGGAAACCACCAGTCGCTCCCAGGGAGAAAGATGAGCTGTCAACTCCCATACCGGGCAGTTGCACTCTTTCCTAGAGGCTTGTCGGACTCAATGGCAGTGAGTTTGGTTTGGGTTTGGAGGTTTCAGGCTAACCACAAGGTGAGCAGTTCAAATGTTCACTTCAGTGTGATTGGTATTATATGGGGCATCGATTAAATCCAGTTTGAAACTGAAAAACCAAACACTGCTACGCGATCCTAAAGGACAGGCCAGAACCCCCCTATACGTTTTTGAGGCCGGCGGTCTTTTCAGGAGCACAGCCTTATCTTTTCCCCCTTGTATCAGCACATGGGTTTGAACCACCTTATAGTTGGAGCCCAGCATGCAGCACACCACTGCCAGGGCTCCTTTCTCCACTGTACGCATTCCTCCTTTGGGTGACTTCACCCAGTCATTTCAGCACAAAGCGGCCCACATCCAGCAGGACAAAGCCCCGCCGGGCCCTGCGCCCTCACAATCATTACACTGGCACCGTTGTTGCAGCCGCTTGTCCATCCATCTTGACGAGGGACACCTCATTTTGGGTGACTTCTAGGCAAGACAATTTCATAAATGTCCACTTCATTCATCTGCGTCTCTCAAAATCCTCTCCCAGGGTCAGTTTCCAGCACAGAAGAGCGTGCGTGCGGCACAGCAGGGACTCCCTGGAGGGGAGCGTGCAGCCACCTCAGGGGAGGCATGGAGGCTGCTCTGCTGGTCTGCGCTGCAGCAGCCACGCGTTCCGGGGCCAGGAGGATTCCCAAGGATCCCCGTCACCTCGCTCCCGTCCTCCTCCCACAAGCAGACCCCGTGGTGGCTCTCGCCCTGGCAAGGCCACCAGGAAAGGCAGCCCAGACGGAAAGGAACAAACAAGTGCCGTAGAGCCTGTTGCGAGCGCCAGTGAAGGAAGGACCGGACCCCTGACAGACAGGGACCCTGAACTACTGTAAGCAGGCTTAGATGAGCTTACTACAGCCAGTGGATTGTTTGTGAACTGTGTCGTCAGACAGGGGGCTTCCAAGAGTGGGTGGGAAAACGGCTGTAGGAGACAGCAGGGGACTTTCGGCAAGGAGGCTGGGCAGACAACCAAGGGATCAGATGGAATGATTAGGACAACAACCCTGCAACCTTGAGCTTTGGAGCCCAAGACTGATACTGATGAGGGCCAGAACCAGAGCAAGCAGCCACACCAGTGACCAGGAACGAGAAAGGGGTGCTCCTTCCTCGTCTCCCATGCCCCACGCAGTGACCCTACTCTGCCTGTGGTCAGGGCACTGTCCTTCCAATGGCTCCTGGTGCATGTTCCCAAGTATGGACTCACAGAGGCTCAGCCCCCTCAGTGCAGACAAGCACCGGTCCTCACAACTCTGAGACCGGAAGAACTAGATGGTGCCCAGCTACCATTCTACCCACTGCTCTGCAAGGGACCACAGGGGAGGGAAGGAAGTCATGCCAGAGACCGAGCTCCCCAGTCAGACAGAGGCGGGGTTCCCACATTACATTCACCAATAGGCTTTGCCCACGGGAACAGGAACCTGGTGAGAATGGGGGCTACACGAGGGTGTGCGGAGGGGACAGCAGAGGGCGCGTTGAAAGAAAATGTAGGTGAACTGGTGAACGCAAACTCTCAAACCCAGCTCTCAACCTTCACCTCACTCACAATTAAAGTTCAAACACACAGAACGGTTTTCCCACACTTTATGAAGCCTCCTCCTAAGTAGAAACACACACACACACACACACACACACACGCACACACGCCCCACTCTCTCTCGCTCACTCTGATCCACACAAAGCCCCAGTCTGGGCTCACTGAAACATAAGAATCCCCTCCAAGCTGTAAGGATCCTCACTCTGAGATGCTGCCCTGACCCATTCAGCAGTGGGCTGTGTAGGAGAGCAGGCTCGCTGAGGAAAATGCCCAGAGTCCTCTTCTACTTGGAGTGGCTCCCAAACATGGAGCCGGCCAGCGGCCTCGCCATCCAGCACTGCCTCACTCACGCCGTGGCCTCTCAGCGCCATAGTGGGCAGGCCTTCCCTGACCCTGAGGTGGAGGACGCAGACCTGACCTGTGATCTGGGGGCTCCTGGGAAGTGAGCACTCAGGCTACGGCCCTCCAGGGCCGGGGCTCCACAGCAGAAAGGAGCCCAGAGTGGGTGTGAGGGAAGCGTGACAGGCCACCGAGTCTCCAGCCAGAGGAGAAGGGCCTGCTGCCTCACCCCCACCCCAACCTGCACGGTTTACTCTGAGGCACAGCCCCGAGGTGCCGTCTCTGAATCTACAGCCCAGAACGCCCTGAGTCTCAGGAGCCCCGTCCACACAGCACAGGCCCAGGATGGCTGGGTGCTTCTGAAGGATGCCCCTGAGGACAGGGATCCAAAGCAGGAGCCCCTCCATGCAGGGAAGACCATGGCCAACTCACGAGCGGATGTGCGGGAAGTCCTCCTCAACCCTGCTCCCCGTGTTCTTGAAAATCTGAAGGGCGGCTTCCGCCACCTTCTCGTCATCCATCTTCAGACAGGCGAGGAGGGACTCGAAGGTTTCCGCCGAGTGGAAGGAGATGGGGTGTGTGAACGAGAGGACCTGCGTGTGAGAGAGAACATGGACACACACACACAAACACACGAGGCTGGGGCGGCTCATCTGCACAGATGCTCCACCGCAGGACCAAGACCCCAGGGAGAAACTGTCTCCTGCGGGTCGCACTGAGTGGGAACAAACAGGGGCATGCTACGCCGGGCTCGCGCACGACTGGAGGCAGCGACTGCACAATCGGAATGAAAGGACAGCCTGAGGGGATTCTCATCAAAGCCAACGGGTCTTATTCAGGTTTGGGGTGTTTTTCGTTTAGGAGGGGTGCTGATGGAGAGTTGCAGAAAGAGGGACAAGAGAATTTAACAAAACGTCCTGGAACTTCTAAATGAACCAGCTAAGAACATTTTCCTGGTGCATTCAAGAGTAGGGGGTAAACACACAGCAGGCAGTAAAGGAGACTACAAAGTTACAATACACAGATCAGCTTGGTGAACACCTGGAAAAATCAGACTCTGAAAACAGTGAACCATTAAATGGATCCCAGCATGTGTATGAAGTAAGAATGATATAAACTCCATTCAGTTATAAAGCGGGCAACCGAACTAATGGAATTTTAAATAAAATACTCTAAAGAAAACTGGCTAGTCACCTAGAGAAAATCAATTACATCCTCGCTCCCAAAATAAAATTTCAGATAGGTCACTGTTTCAGATGACAGCTCTTGGAAAAGACTTTAAACGTGGTCAGCATTTTAAGCCTAACCTTGGCAATGGTAACCAAATGTGGACAGTAAAAGGGCAACGGCAAACACACATACACTCTATTTATAGACTTCATAAACCGGCGAAGCGAGCACCTTTTAGATGCACAGAGTCAGACGTTATGGAGATGTACAGCCAGAGAAACACAGACACATGTGGACGCTGCCCTGTAAACAAACAGTTCCACACAGGATGCAGACAGAACAACAGAGACCAGCTGGAGCACAGACCCGAGTGCCCCCACCCCAGCCGCCCGAGTGCCCCGCACCCCAGCCGCCGAGGCTGGAAGATGTGGGTGGAGGGACCCACCCACAGGACTTGGACAGGGCTGGCAGGGATTCTATTCTATTCTTCTATTCAGTGGGGCTCATATTCTTTTTCATTGTCACAAGTGCGGCTTTCTTGCTATACTTTGTAACACGCCCTTAACAGAATGTGCTACATTCTGCCTACACACCAAACACATCCTACAAAATCGCAACAGCAACCAGGATTGAATTTGGCCCAAATAAAACGTTAACATCTGTGTATCAAAAGAACCCTTCCCACTGCCTCCCCTCCCCTGCCCCCAAACCAAACAACCAAAAAAGTTAACAACAGAGTAATTAAAGCAAAACACAGTCTCTATGTTACAGCAATTAAAAAGTTCAGCTGAATCCGTAAAGACAAACAGACCGACAGAACAGGTGCTCCCGTTAAAGGTGTGATGCTTAACCAGGACAAAGTACAAGGTCGCGTTGTGTGACCATTACTAACTGGTGTACCCCACCTTCCACACCAGCCAGGAGCGCGCTACAAGAGCTCATGACTGCATCCTGTCCATTGTGTCCAGCCTGCCCCCACTCACCCCACCCATAGCCTCCTGTAGTAGTTATATACTGTATATACTCCAGTATAAGTTGACCCGAATATCAGCTGAGGTACCTAATTGAACCACAAAAACTGTATAAAAAATGTACTGAAAAACTCAGCTTATACACAAGTATATATGTCATCTCATTTCCAATGTGAGGATTTTAAGAGTGAAGGGGCGGAGTTTAGTCTGGCAATCAGGTCGCAGCCTGAATGGAGGACAACTGAGATAAATGGTTCTCCCAGGCCAGTCTCAGCTGGTGGGTCAGTTGGTCTGCCTGTCTCTCTGCCTCTCTGCTTTCAAAACCCTGTTATTGACAAGCCAAGCCATGTGGCGTCACGCTGAGACATTCCAGAGCCCTGGAGGTGCTTTCCACAGCCACTGGATCCACAGAACTGTGAACCAATGACCTGTGATCCTGCAGCATTTTTTTATCTTTGCATGTGCTGCGTGAGTCTGAAGAAGGATTTAGGGACTAGTATGGGACTTATGGGCTAATGTCCGACATATGGACTTGATCTGGACTGGGCTGGGATGTTTTCTTACTATCAATAACACTGTGATATAGAGCTCTTTCTTATACATAGGAGTGTCTCTGGATGTTTCTCTAGTGAACCTGGTCTCACACACGTCGGTCGACGGCAGGAAAGGCAGCGGGAGCTGTTCACTGCCGACGGCACAGAGGTGGGAGTGACAGCTCTCATGTACGGCACCCTAGAAAAATGCTGAGAATGGGCTTAGCTGCTGCTGCTGTTCAGCACTGTTGGGTCAGTTCTGACTCACATCAAGCCCGCGCACGCCACCAGAAAGCACGGTCAGTCCCACCAGGACTGGACACCAGGAAAGCTAATCTCTGTGTGTGCTCAGCAATTTAGACATGTGTCCTCTGAAGAGTCGAAGGGAACACTGTTTATGTGAGCAGGTGTATGCGTCCTTCCTTATATTTTTCAATTTCCTAGGACTTTTCTAAGTAGTAAAAGACAGACTGAACAAAAATAAAAATACAACCTATCAAAATTTTAAAAAAGGAAGCATACCTTTTTATCCAATGACATTAAACATAAAAAGGGAGTTTTCAGGACAAGTTAACATGGTCTTCACCCACCTTCCACTTGGATGCCGTTGTTTTTAATGTCGTGACTGAAGACTACAATTTCAAATTTGAAGTTTACCCCTTACAGTAAAGGTGCCATTTCTACGTCCCTGAACACGATAGCGAAACGAGTCTCAAGCATGGACATGTCAGTGCTGCGCGGCGCTGGTGGGACGGGGCACTCACCTTGAGCAGCTCCAGCCCCGCCCGAATGGCCTGGTCAGTGGGCACCCCCTCATCCTCGTCGTCAGCAGTGCCATCTATGGATCTGTTGACTTGCTTGATGAGAGCACTACAGGACAGAAGGACAGCGGACACTTCTCGTCAGCACACTCACAAGGGGCACCCTACACACACATCAGAGGCTGAATCAAAGGGGGCTGCTGGAAAACCTGGGTACGCTGAGCCCGACCACCTCTAGTGACTGAAAACCCACCAGGAACACAAAGCACGCAGGACACGGCTGGCGCGTGCCTGTGTCTGAGGCAGGCACGCATGCACGCACCTGATGGACTCCGTGTCTATGTGCACTGGCGCGATCCTCTCCAACAGGAACTTGATCATCTCCAGGAAGGGGTTCGTCGGCTGCTTGGGATTGCCCAACTTCTTGGTTATTTCACGCTGTAACACAGACACGTAGAACATTACAAAGCAAGGTTGAACAAGTCATCCACCTTGAAAGGAGCAAGAAGAATCTACCATGATTAAAACCACGCTGCCGCATTAGTGCCAGAAGTAGCAAACCAACAGGGGACTGGCCAAAGCCAGAAAAAGACTGGAGTAGAAACCCCAAATCCAGGAAAGGGGCATTTCCAGGAACGAGGACAGATCGCCCCGCCCTATGCCGCAAACCCCAGCCCGCCAGACCTGGCTTCCAAATGAAGCTTGGTCCTCACCACACACCTGACTGACACCAAATTGTCCCTAAGGAAATAGAGTTCAGTGAGTGGACACACACACAGGTCAGCATGGCGCACAAGGGTTCAGTGGGTTAAATCTATAGATCCCTAGACTTCACTTGAGAGAACCAGAGTGAGGCCATCAAACATTTTTTTAAGCATCTGGTAGGGCCCCTGGGTAAGAGATTCAGACACACTGGGATGAGCACATGCTTCCACTGACCGCCACGGAAACACTGCTGCCGGCCGTTAGCCCCCATCAGCGTCCACGTCTGAGTAATGGACACATTGATGCCAGCAAGCACAAACAGGGAACACAGGATCTGTGACGTAGAGCGGAGTCGAGGTCACAGGGCGCCCGCCACACACACAGTGAAAGGCCCAGGCCCAGCCTCGAGAGCAAGCCGCATACTGCTGACACTCCTGTTTCATGGAAGGCAAGTAAATGGCCAATGGACCATAGGAGCAGGAACCGTCGGAGCCGTCAGCTGACCCCCTCCTGAGACAGAGACTCTGGGGCCAGCCACATGGATAGTGCTGCTGGCTGCCACCAAGAGGACACTGGCTGGTGGTGGCCCCAGTGTGCAGAGCAGAGGTCAGATCACTCCAGCGCCCACTTGGGGAAACTGTTGTACAGGGTTTCCGCTCTTTGCAGGAGCGGCCCTGTCTTTCTCCTTCAGAATGGCTAGTGCCTTTGAACCATAGGCCTTGAGGTTAGCACACAAATCTTCTACCAGTACCCTGAGGGCTGGGCGCAGACCACCAGGGCGGCCTCCGAGGTACCTCTAGATGGGCTGGCACGCCAACAACCCGCAGGACCAGCTGTCCACCTGCCGTGTTGCGCACTGCCAGTGTTACGATGCTACCACACCAGGTCAGCCAGGAAGGGCAGTTTGGCAGTCGGACTGGGAGCCGTACAAGGCGGCCTTTAACGCACACTGCTGCCCTTCTGGGGACTTCTCCTAGAAATGGGGCGGCCACCTGCAGAGCGCACCAGTGCTCAGCACTCGAGGCAGTCACCCAGCACTCATTCTCGAGGCAGCAGCGGGCAGGGCAAGCATTCACACAGGGGCTGTCAGCTCGGGAGGGCTTTCTGAGTCCCTGTGTGCACCCTCAGCAGTATGCTATGAGGCTCTCAGAGCGCCACACCGTCAGTGAAGAGCTGGTGCACAATCAGTACACTGCAGCGCCAGGTGTACAGCAGCCCGCGCTCTGGGACGGCAGGTAGCAGCACTCCCTGCGGGGCTGGTCGCTGATTGCACGGCTAGTGGAGATGCCCTCTCCTTACCACACAGCCTTCGGCCTGCTTGCAGGAGCACGTGGGGCTGACCAGAACCTCCAGCTGCTTCCGGATCTTCTCGTCGTCTTCTAAGACCTGGGTGAATTTCTTCATGAAGTCCTGAGCCTTGCCGGGGTCTGGTAAGTTCCCTGGAAATGCAGTGGAAACACAGTGTTAAGAGGCTTCTCCGGAGGAGGAAAGGCACACCTTGCCCACTCGGCTCCACTATGCCCTTACTTCCGTGTTCAATTTCCTTGGACACTGCCACACAAGGTCAAGGACCCCAAGCTGTCACCCATTCACATATGAACCCCTTTAAAGGAATGCACGAATGGGAACTAGGAAATGGCCTGTTTCTCCGTCCCTCTCAGACAATGTGAGGGCAGCATTCACTCATCACACAGCAGCCTGAGAGCACCGTTTACGGTGCAGCCGCCATGAGCTTCCTGCTCACCCAGGCACCGCTGCGTCCGTGGGTTTGGCCTTTAGAAACATCAGTCCCTGGCATCCATCCCCTGGACAACGTCTCCCAGTGTCACTGCTGGGTGTACTTCTACCACGTGAACACCAACAAACCTATTGCCATCAAGTCCATTTCCAGGAAGACAGTCTCATCTTTCTCCTGAGTGGCCAGTGGGTTCCCACTGTCAGCCTTGGGGAAGCAGCCTGACGCCTAAGCCACATTGTCACCAGGCACCTCGTGGCCACATGAGAAAGAACAGCTGGAGCAGTGTCCGCAGCTCAAAGATGGTCTCTACACTGGCCTGCTAATGTCACGCCTCACACCAGTCCTGAGAGCTAACACAACACCCACCCGAGTGACGACGACCTTTCTGGTCCAGAGTCAGACCCTTCTCATACGAGACCACCAGGAACTCGCCCGTCGTGCGAGCAGCAGAGATACAAGTGCATTTGAAGACCGGATGCAGTGATCCCATTCCCGAGAGTGGCACACCAGCCTGAGTGCCTAGTCTGCGTCCCGGCGAGTGCAAGCAGCCTCCTAAAGATTTGGCTGCATGGGCTTTGCACGTTTCTATGACAGTGTATCTACTGTCAAGAGAGGGGATCTGGCTCTGCTGCTTACAGAAGAGAAGCCACATGTTCACTCGGGGAGCAACCAAGGGCAGGGTGTGTGCTATTGTGGGGTTCTGTGCAACCCGTGTTGTGAGCACAATGAGTCACTCACTGGGGTGTCGCTGGGCTCGGGAGAAGTCCCCATACAACAGGCCAGAATCAGGCCACCATTTAGGGAGCAAAGGAAAACAAAGAGGAGACGAGAATGGGGCATGGGGGGCATGGGGGGCACAAAGAAGCAGACAGAGCCCAGGGCCTGCTCTCTCGCAGGGCAGGACAAGGCAAGGCCGAGTGTGGAGGGGACACAGTAGGAGGAATACAGAGCCCGTCTCCTGCAGGGACAACGTCCACTGGCAAACCTCAGAGAAGGCAGTCAGGAGACACAGCATCACTGGTTTGCAGCTTTCTAAGGAAGGCCCTCCACAGAACAGACGCCACGGCGACTGCACACAGGTTCAGGCACAACACTGACTGCGAGGGTGCCGCAGGACCGGGCAGTGTTTCCCTCTGTTCGGCTGTCCATGGGAGTTGGAACCACAGAATCTCAAACAAAGGACTGGAACCCACTGATGCTGACCTACCCTTGCCTCTGCTAGGGACTAACCATCTATTTGGTCTTCAGACTAAACCAAAGCTCTTGCCGCTTATGGGCCTGTGCCCCCACATGTTAAGAACAGAAGTAGTCCCAGCTTTAGTGGATTGCTCTCCAATCACACAGTGCCCATGCCACCAAATTCCTCCTGGAAAACCCTTACTAGCACTGACCCTCCTGCCACTCCATGTGGGACCCAACCCCCAAGGGGTACTAGTTCCCACCCAGACTTGGCATGACTGTCACATATTCTTATGGCCCTCCTCCTCACAGCCCTGCCACCTCTGACCACTCTCCTTCCTCTCCAGCCACAGGGGCCTCTGTGATGGTGGGAGGAGCCAGCTTGCCCGCTGCAGCCCCGGGTGAAGAACCCCGCCCAGTTACTGAGCAGGAAGCCCCCCAGTAACCCTGCATTTGAAATTAGAGTTTGTGTGCTTTTCAAAGAACCCATTTTGTAGTGACTAGGCAGATCGGCCACTTGGTCCTAAGTAAAACGTACATCTGGTCAGCTAATCTGTGAGCCGCAGGCAGCTTTCTCACAGCCGTGAGGCGGAAACTTGTCCCAGAAGGAACATTCAGGCACCTCCACCAAGGCGGCGACAGCGTGGTGGGGAGACCAACCCCACACCGCCTTCCAGCCAATTCTGACTCAGTGGCCCTACAAGGCATTGCCCAGCATTGACCCACAGGGCTTCCTAGGCTGTACATCTCAAGGGGGACGGACAGTCTCACCTTTCCCCCAAGAGCAGCTGGTGGGCTTGAACCTCACACTGGTCTTGTCACGCAGCTCTCACCTGCCTGCTGCTATGGCCCTCCACAGTGCAACGGCACGCAGAGACCTCCGGACCCTGAAGAGCAAGGAGGTGCCACCTCCTGAGCCTTGGCTCTCTCGGGTGTCACTGTAACTAGTTAAAGTTCAGAAATAAGTCTGCCAAACGCTTCCTTTGCCCAGCTCATGCTGCTGCTGCTGCAAGGTCCTGGCCCTGAGGGAAGCACTGTGCCTGCTGCGAACATCACCACGTCCAGGAGCGAGGGGAAGGGCCGGGCTGAGTCCCAGACACCTGTCTTTCTTTCCCAGGGCCCAGGCCCATGAAGGGTTTCCCCCACCCCTCCCGCCACCAGGGTGGTTCCCCTGCAAGCTTACTTACGCTGAGTACTCAGGGTAACTTACTGGTAATGACCATGACCTTCGAGAATATGGCCTTCACGCTGGCATCCGTCTGCAAACCACACAAAAAAGGGCACAATTAGAACCCTGGCCTGTGAGAGTCAGAGGCCGCACCACCACACTGCCCCAACCCGCCGACGCCACTCCGCCAGCCAAGAAGGCACGATCTCCAAGTGTCGTGTCCCCTACATGGCACAGGCCCTGCTCATCCTCCCTGCGCTGAGGCCACCGCCCGACCTCCCTGTCTTCCCTCAGAAGGCTGGTTTCATCAGCGTCGAAAAGCTAGCTGCCTGTAGAAACCCACAAACTCGGGGGCGGGGTTCTATCCCAATCTCAGTGAAAACCTGACTGTGAGAGCCTGAGACGCCTTGCCAGGGCTCGGTGTGACCACCATGCTTGTGGACAGTGCTGAGTGACGCTGCCTATCTACATGAGGTGAAGGAGGCCCCTCAGAGGAACCAGCGCGCTCTTCAGCAGTCTCGGAGACAAAGACCCCAGCAAGTCCCCAAGGCTGTGGCTCGCATTTCCAGTTCGTGGCTGAGGGCTAACCACTGTGCACACCCTGACACCTCAGAAATGTGCCTTCAAGTATGTGGATAGGTCTGTCTGGACCCACACCAGACTTCTATCCTTGTCTTTCTGCCGGGGGGTTGGGGGGGCGGCGGCTGCTGAGGTTTCAAGCTGATCCTCATGCAAACTAGTGTATAAGAAAGAGAACCAAGCCAAGCACAATTATAGGAACTAGTCACTTGTGCAAACAGCTTGGGATTTTTGTTATTTGTTGAAACTTTCATGCCACGGTGCCTATCACCATTCCTGGTAAAG